CAATCAACAGTATTCTTCATTCTTCCCTGTCCCGGAAACGGTTTTAGTGTTTTCAAGTTTTACAAGTTGGGCTTTATAACCCATTATTACCTACGTATCTGTCAATACAGGGCGGTTAAGTAAAATAAAAACAATAAATAAAACTGTAAATTAAAAAAAAACTAAACTAATTATTTTTTTAACAGACTTAAAATAATCTCAGTACAGAGTATTAAAAAAACCGACCTCGAAAGAATATGGAATTACTTAATTAATTTTTAATTAGTTTTATTGAAATCGGTTACCGGAAAGTGCAAACCCGGATTTATCCCCTAGTTCGCCACTGTACGGGACTTGACACAGGAGATAATAAAAATCGGTTGTTACTACTCAAAGTATATTGAGAGAGAAAAACGCCTTGAATTGAAGAATAGCAAAATCAACCAATAAAATAATTGCTCCTTATAATAAAATTTTGGCGCTATTTATAAAAATGACTCTTCATGCGTGAACAGCCCCCTTAGAGGTGGATGATTTTCTTCAAAATTAAATGGGACCACTATGGAGGTACCTTCTTTCCAACAAAAAAAGAATCATGAAAATTGGTTCACAAATACCGGAGTATCGCGTAACATACATAAAAAAAAAACTATCGAATTGAGAACCTCCCCCTTTTATGAAGTTAGTTAAAAAGGAGAAAGTTTTTTCTTCGATGTTTCTTTTTTATTGGAAAAAGTGTATCCTCAGTAGTCTAAATATTCAATTTTTATGGGTGGAAAATGAGGGGATGAATACCGTTTATTCGATTTCACCCACTTTCCGTTAACCGATTTCAATAAAACTTGGCAAATATATGGAAGATTCCACAAACTTTTAAGGCAGTTTTTTTTTACAAAAAAACTTATACTTATTATTTACTATTAAAGTCCTTTACAACTACCTAACAGCCGTACAGAAGTATCCTTGTGAATACTTGTGATAGGTTTTTGTTTCTGCATATTATGTAAATTCGCCATGCATTTCACGGGTTTTAATAAATGGCACCAATTGTTAACCGGAAACAATACGCTAGAAGCGATCCGCAAAATAAATAAAAAGTCAAATTTAAACGCTATTCAAAGTACGCTGCACCATCAATATTGATAAATTTTTAAATCATCCTGTAGACCACATGAGGGACAAAAAGTATTCCACATTCAAAATTCTGTCGTGTCACGTTCAGGACGACTACCTGCCATCTTTTTTTAATTCAAGGCCAATCTTTATACTGGCAACGGCCAAAACCATGTGTGCCTCACCGTTGATGCCATAACGAATTTGTATATACAACGGTTCCATTTAGTCGGGTATAATTTTATGACTTAATTTTTTACGATTGCATATATGGTATTATTGACTTGCGATTGTGAATTAATAACCAGATTGATATTACTTAAGAAACACGCTGTTAGTTATTTAGCTTAACTTATTAGACGATAACAACGAACGGTAAATTGTGGATATTAATTTATTATCATTTATCGTGTTCACTTGATTCCTTATAGTAACCCCTACTGCCTTCGGGCGTCAGAACGTAAATTTGTAATCATTCAAACGCAACTACCGCGTTTTCGTGAAGATTTTTATTTAGATCTTAATCGTATATTTATAAGGTTTAAATTAAAATCTTAACGCAAACGCGATAGTTACTTTACATATTTGAATACTTACACTAAGGCCCCAGAAGACATTAAATTTATCAATATATATTTTACGGTATTTCAATGTAATAAGGTACAAATTGCAATGTTCAAAAGCACCGATCTCGGAGCATCACGCCGCATTTCTCTCTGTATCTTATTTCAATTTTTATAGCATAAAATATACATTGATACATTTAGTGTTCTCTGCGTTGCCATCCGTTATGCGCTGGCCCTTAAAGATAAAAAAGCCAACGGAATTAAGTTACTGTAAACGATTAGTCAAAAGGCAAGCTGAACGCAATAAACTAACCCCAGCCACATTGGTGTTGTTGTTATAACTATAACATAATATATAATAATAATAACGCAACACACTCACAGCCCCGCACTAGGGAAAACCCTGTGTCGCGGGTGCCATGGGCACACACATAGACAACCACAAATTACACCCAAACTCACGAGAGAAATAAATGTAGGCTATTCACATATTTCTCCCGGCCTGGGCATCGAACCCAGGTCCTCTGTGTGGCAGTCCAACATGGTAACCGTTCGGCCACGGAGGCAGTTTAACATATAAAAAAGGATGATGGAAACTGAATGAAGTTACATACTTCAAACTTTCATTCTATACTTAACCCAGCTAAAGTTTGGTTAGATTGCTTCACTATCCCTTGAGAGCAACATTATTTCTGTGGGTTACGTCAATTTACAAAACTCAAACAATAGTTACATTATAAACAATGTTTTCGGTTTTAAAATCGCGTTTTTTTAAAGAAACCAAAGTTTCGGGCCTTTTACAGGTCAGTCGTGACTTTGGGACCCGAAAAAATTGTGTAGCAATCTTGAGAAACAAAGAACTCAATTTAAGTTTCAGAGATTTCTCACAGATGACGTGACGGCAATAAAGTTGTTAAAAATCAACTATCTGAGAGCGTCAAGCACAGTATGTTGAAGGCGCTGGCACGAATCCAGACGGTTCTAAGGAATTTTTCTTAGTGTTTATGTTTATTAATAATTATGACAAACTAGTAGAGTAATTTCACAAAAAATAATTGAATATCTTCTATTTTAAATATCTGATTTTTCGGACCGACTTATGCGATTCCCTGTCTATGAGTGTGGTGATTCCCTTGTTTATCACATTCCTGTTCTGAACTCTAGAGAAAAGAGTTTCTCCTAACCGAAAGCAATGTTGTCATAAAATAGAAAAACAAAATGACATCACAAAGAAATCTCATTCACCGCTTTACCCTGCTACCCACCCTATCAGGGAAATCATAAGAGTTGTCCAGTAGTTAGATGACTTCGCCATCCCTCGAGGGGAGGCTGCCTTTTGCTTTTAAATTAATTTACAACACATACCATTGTAGCATTTTTATGATATCTACTGTAATTCTCACGGGCACATGTCACCTGCCCCATGACAAAACTTAGTAAATGCTTTAGATAATTTTACAGTAGAGCCCAAAAACACAACGCAAGGCCGCTGTAGCGAACTGTATCATTGAGATTCAGGTGCTATTGAAGAGTGAGCAAGACCAGAGGAGATAAATTTACTTACAGATACTTACTTATTTTAACAACGTGCTGCGAACCAAACAGAAAACAAAGAACAATGAAAAAGGCGGCTAAAACAAATATATTTAAATTTAGAATTTCAATCTGAAATTGAACTGCTGAAATATATGTGCAAAAAAGATATGTAACGACCGCTGTGATTCGTTACGTCCGCCCTTAAACAATCTCCTTTTATTATTAGAGTTGGTATAAGGTAGGGTATGTCACAAAAATGATCACAACTTATACATTACAATTGCCCTTACTAAGTTTGAATACTTATGTTCACAAGTTCCTGTAGCAGCTAGAATCACTACATAGTATAAGCTTTTGTTAGTTATTTGGTTTAGTTATTGCATTAGACAATATGGAATAAAATTTGATTTTTTTTGACTATTTAAATTAATAATTGAAATACGTGGTAAGACGCTTTAACTACTTTAAAACCTAGCAAATCTGAACCTTACTAGGTGTGCCTTACTAGGTCTTAAGGTTTCGAAATCTCTAATAAATTGCAATATTTTGAAGCGGCTGTCACCGCTATTAGGAGAGTACTTACTAAGGGAGTAAACAGTATTCCGTTTAAAAATATTTTAGGTTTTGTTCTGGAGCAGCCAATTTATCTTTATGGAACAAATCTCCATATAGCGTGGTTTTCGATATATTGACGTTAAAAAAATACTTCATGAATAAGTCCGGTTCGCCGTCACCCGGCTACAAGGTATTTATAAGAGTTGTCCGGTAGTTAGATTACGTCACTGTCCTTTGAGAACCCACAGTATATCTCTCGACCGGAGCTTATTTATCACGTAGTCCCGTACTTTAAATTAATTTATTATACTCACAGACTTAGAAAACCTTTGCAAGCTTTAGACTTCAGTGTTCAAACGGTATCATTAAGCATATACTTCGTACAATCCGTTATTTCTGTAAGAAGTGGCGGATAACTTCATGTTTTTGGAAATCGTTCTGAATGCAAGACGTTCAACCAGGCTCTCTATACTAGTTCTACTATGGTAATAGTAACAGTATACCGCACGGTGGTGTATCTCAAAGTCAAATAATCGTTTATTCCATATTTAAAATTTTTACACTTGAAGACATTGACTTTATAGACGTCATTTTTGAAACAGTAGAAGAACGAGCAGTTGATTAAAAAAAACTGAGAAGAACGAGCAAGAAACTAGGGATTTCTCTTTTCAAATGAACCTAAATGCTATGGAATACACTTTGAATTATAATTGTGTGGAATCTAGACTCATGTTGTCTATCCAGACATCTTTATCAACACGTACTCTTCAATTTTGTAATATGATTTTTCAATTAAAATACTTTTAATGTTAGTATTAAACTCAAGAATTGATAATCTTAATGTACCTAATTGGTAAATATGTCGTTCTTGCAAGGCACTTTAACCAGCCACTTGAAGGTTATAACCTGGAATTCAGCATGATATTTTGTTATCCTTGGGGGAGGCCCACGTTCTGCAGTGGACGTCTTCAGGCTGATAATATGATGATATTATTATATCACATACTTATTTGAATTTTTCTGAACTTCAGAAATTGAAATTTAAAATGTCTTTCAAGCTGAAAGAGAATTTGATAATTCAAGCTGAACGTTCAGGTGTTCAAAAATTTCGAAATTGTCGTCAATGTGACAGAGCTAATATAAAATAAATTTAGACGGAGTGGAACCCACAGAGAACACGAAGTGTCTCAAAGTGTCTCTGAGCTAGCGAGGTCGTCGCAAAATATTAATGTAATTGTTTCTTTATTGCAGATAACCGTGTCGCAGCGTCTAAAGGACGAGGCGAGCTGGATGCCAAACATGCATTAGATATCGACCAACGATATCGAAACGTAAGTATCCTTAAGTACACTTTTTATGATACTAAGTGACGGGACGAATAAGTCGTGCGCCTGGTGGTAAGCGACACGCCTGTCCATAGCAGTTCCAATGCCACTCAGAGCTTTAAATCGCAAAGATTCGAGGGGCACTGCCACCTCACCCGTCATAAGTTGACACGTAGCATCTGCCTGTAATTTCACCAATGTTCACGTTACTGCTTGGCGGCAGAAATAGACACATAGGAATGTATAAATCAAACAAATTTTCTTTGGTAGACGCTACGGCATCTTAACTATTCTAAAGTATTCCTGCAATGCGTTTTGCTGCCACATTAAGCAACCGGAACAAAGAGAAGCGTTCACGTGCGAACTCGTGAACGCTTAGTTGTTCAATTAAGGAGCTACACATTTAACTCTTTGTAATATCGACTTTATTGAATATCATGATGTCTTACTACCATCAAATTCAATTTATTTGTGAAATTACTCGTGGCTGGGGCCCTACTCTCGATGTGGACGTTTTCCCACTGTGGATAACCTACGGACTTGAGTTTCGATCGGGGCTAGAACTAAGAATGTGTGACAATGCGATTTGATAATTTCGAACGGGCCGTTTGACCGAACGCGATTTGATAATTTCGAACGTTTTGAACCGATCGAAACTGTCTATTAGCTGACGGACTTCGAAAGTGATTTCGTTCCGTACGTCATCCATAATGGGAGAACTGTCCTGCCGCGCTACCCCTGTGATGATATGCCAAACCTAGAGCCACTACGGTAAAAAAGCAGTTGAAACCAAATACGGTCTGTAACAAAAGCATAGAGAAATTGGTAAGGTCAGCTGACTCAATCTATAGCTCAGTTTGCAGGGTCCTGTTAAATTGAATACTTTGTCAGGTATTTTCCTAAATATAACGACTAGGATATTTTTTACGGTTAGAGTGAACAGGCATCTTTTAGGCGAACGTGTGCTTTCCTCGTCAACATCTTTATTTTGTTCAAGTTTATTAAGTATATAAAATTAAAAATGCCGTGAATTTAGAGCGTCGGCAATTCGTAGAAATATAAGGAAGCAATTTTTTGTAGTGACTACACCAACGTTCATATCAAAAGCTATGGAACGCCGCTGGGTTCCAAAATATATTAAGAGTCTGCGACGTATGTTTAAATAAAGGTATATAAAGCCATATAATTATGTCACCTTCTTAGTTTGATCTCTTGAAAAGGTTAATTTGAAATTCGTCCACCATTCCAGCCTCATTTTATACATAGAACGATTCATTATTATCTCCTTGGATCTAGTATTCTCGCGATGTTTGTATGTCTTTATTGCAAATTATAATTAATCATCGTCAACATATTTAGACGTCCCACTTTGAGCACGGATTTTCTCTCAGGCGAGGGTTCAAGCCATGTCCGCCACGCTGACCCAATGCGGGGACTTCACAGGTTTGCCGAGGTTTTGTGAACCTTCCTCGGCGTACAGGTTTTCCTTCTCAGAACAAGCTCATGATAAATTTAAAATTATAATTAATAAAATGTTAATAAATATTTTGAGCGTATGAGCTAATAGAAATTGTAAAATCCAAATTCCAATATTTATAATAATACTCCAGTGTAAGTTTTGAGATCAATGTCTCACACTTCGCTAAAGATATGAAAACTAACGATAACTCAGGCGGCCGTTTTTGTTTAAAAATGAACTGCTTGCATAATAATGAAAATGAGCCACTCACATCTGAATTATTATATTCCTTTAAGTGTACCAGATTGTCAGCTAAATGTGTAACAGTTCTGCTCAAGGGATTCATTTTTAACGAACTGTAACCCATTATCGAATTTTCGCATTTGCCTATTGCCTTCGCTCGGAATCAATGGTTTGTAGATTTCGTGGCAAAATATAGATGGCGCTACTAGTATTCCAAATAGAGATTCAATTACCATATCGTCGCCTTAGAATAAAAACCTCACATACGCGTTGTCACCTAGTTCGTTTTTATTGATTTTTGTTGAAGAAAAGCTTATAAACTTCTTGCTCAAATATATTATTAAAGTGATATAGTACCTATCTCAAAGAGGTATAATTTAACTAATTGAAATGCTAACTACAAACATTATTACGTTTATTACATTTTACACCACATTTTTATCTTTGTCGTGAAAAATTACACAGAAATATACGAGGTATTCGCTCTAAGGGCGCGTTCCCACTATGTCGTGACGACAGATTGTCGTTCACATATAGCACGATACGATTAACTGTCGTTCAGGATTTTTTATCGTTACAACGACAAACTGTCGTCACAGTGGGAACAGCTAGAACGACAGTCGTCAGACGATAAAAAAACGTCATGATAAAAACGTGGCGACAGATTGTCGCAGCTCCTATTGTCGTCACGTTTTATTTATCGCTGTCCCCACGTATTCTGCTCTCTGCCCTCCCCTCTCGTACCCCGCGCCCTCTGCTCACTTTGTAGTAGTGTTGGGTCGTAGCCAGAGATGTGCAAGCGCCCGGGTTTTAACCCGGCGCTTTGTTACCGCCGTGTTAAATCGGGTTAAAATCTGAAATCGAGGACAAAAATTATTTACGTCCAAATATTTGTTGTGAATTGAGTTTTGTTCAAATTTAATTATACATATTATTGCAAAATATTTGTTGCTTTATTGTCAGGATAGTTCGATTTACCTGCCTATTGAATAGATTCGCTTGAATTCATCAATAAATTGGTACAAAAAATCGTTAGATCGAATGCACTTGAATCGATCTTCATTGAGAATCCACAGGATTGACAGGTGGTGGGTATTATGTGGAGATGCCTCTCCTTCGTGTAATAAAAATATAGAAATTTGTTACAAGTTATTGTATATTATGTTGTTAGTGTTGGAATTATACCAAATTCTGTACTGTTCGTTTCTGCCCACGATTTAAGTCAGAAATGGGTTAAAACTCGGTGTTTTGGGTAAAGCTCTGGTGAAAACACGGGCGGGTTGATTGGGTTTTAACCCACTGCCCATCTCTGGTCGTAGCGGGTTTTGACAATACCGAAAAGAAAGCAACTTCGTATACCATTTGACATAACCCTAATGGAATTAATTTTAGTAGCATTGGATATACCCAAAACTTTCTTTTCTTTGTTTGCTTTCTCTTCCTCATTTTGAAAAAGTAATACATTATTAAAATTTCGTTTTCATCCATTTCGAGCGAACACACACTACCGGCTTCCAAAAGAACATACAAGCGACTCTAGTGCATCAAGCGATTCTGTCGTGTAAACGTCAAGAATCCTGTCCTGAAACGATAAATTGTCGTCACGATCTAGTGGGAACAGTTAGTCACGAGAGTCGTTCAACGATAAAAAATCGTCCACGACAGATAGTTGAGATATGGGAACAGGCTAGACACGACAGTCGTCAAACGATAATAAAACGTGACGACATAGTGGGAACGCGCCCTAAGACGAAAATATACAAAAATTATACAAAATTCTAAAAAGACAGCAGCGTCTGGTCTACAGTAACTTTATCTTTTAAATATTAAATGACATCACATGCGTTGCTCTGAAACTAAAGCATTTGTGTTATGGCAAACAGAAACAACGACGGTGTCACAAACATCCAGACCCGAGACAATATAAAAAAGTTATGTTTCTACATTGATCCGGCCGGGAATCGAACCCGGGATCTCAGAGATGTTGACATCATGAAAATCAGCATACAAGCCACCCAACTACGGAAATTATGGAAAATATTCTTTTTTTTTTTTTTGTTAAAATATATATGCAACAATATTTCCGAAAGAACACGCGTGTTACTTTACTTACCTTTTATTAAGCTGAAATAATACAGCGCCAACAACTGACATATGTGTACGTCTCCGTATATTCCAAAAATATTCTGTATTTATTCTAATAAAGATAAAATCTCTAACAATGGGGGCTGTTCCATTCGGTGGTATGGGAAAAACAGCAATACATCTAATTACAAAAGAAACGGTTACATTTTGTCACAGTAATGATTTGGCAGAATAATTTTTAAACATATTAAATGACATTTCATCTCTATTTCTGGTTATATATTTACTCGATGATAAAAGGTAACATTGTTACGCCATCTATCTGAACCAATTTAAACTAACAAGTTCATTCACATTAAATTAAACTATATATAAATTAAACATACTTTTTAATAAAAGTAACAGTAGAATAACAATATACATATCTGCATCAGAATATATTATTGAGGCTAACACATATACCTTCAGCATTTGAGTGTGGTGGTGAAATTATAAAAAAAATATTCGTGATTCAATAAAACCAATTTAAACTACAGGCCCGCGGGCGGTACTCCTGACATAAATTCAATACAAACGCCCATAAATTTAAATATCGTACGGAATAATTCAAAATTCAAACAAAACGCGAAACTCACGAGGACTAAAAATTCTGTTGAATTCGCTCAGCCACGTGGCTTTTCAACTAAGTCCAATTATTCTCAACCAGTGCTCGATTTTTAATTTCAAACTATTTTGTGGCCATGCGATTGCTGCTTTTTTCTAAATATTTGTACCTGTTAAATAAATACTCGATAAGATTACTTTTTAGAATGTTTGCTGTTTTTTACGTTACTAAATAGGTCTTAACGAAGTTGGTAACATTAGAGTACTACACAATTTTAACAGCTGAAAATTAAATTCGTTTGGGGCTGAAAACAATGGAATAAATTTTATGAATTCCAACAAAGTTCTCCTAGCTATAATTTTGCGATTTTACAATCGTAAAGCAGGAAGTTGCTGTCGGCAAGTACGATGTTCTCAAATATATTCCCTAATAGCAAATTCTCTCTTTATTTGAATAAAGAGTCTAATTTGAGCCCTAAATATTTTCTCATATCTCACAAAACACATAGGTATTAACCTCACATTTCGTCATTTTTTTTAAGAAGGAAGCGTAGTAACAGAATGTCTTTGTAATAAGGTTCTTCTCCGTGTTTCTCGAAAATTATATAGAATCAAA